TACAAGGCCACCCAAATTTATAAAGACAGCAACTAATTTTGATAGAGTAAAATGATCTCCTGAATTTGCTGGGAAAATTGCAGTCAAAAGTAATGTAAAAAGACTAGAAGATGATGACAAAACTGTGACGACTCCAGTTTCCGTTTCGTTTAATGATAATTGATAAGTAAAATTTGCAATAAACCACTGAAAAATTATTAGACAACAATTTTAATATAATGTAATATTTATTTATTTGAAGATAAAATAAAAATTACTCACTAAAAAACAAAACATTAAAGCTATTTTAGCTACTTCATTAATTGGATATTTATACGCTGATTTTCTAGCTACTTCTCCTGCCTTTACGCTCGCTTGATAGGAAAGCCTGGCAAGTAATGCTTCAGTGGCATCTGCATTCGACATGTGTCTGACTTCAGCCATTTTACTAAATCTAACTGAATGTATGGAAGAATCATCGCTCTCAGTTCCAGAACTTTTGTCGCTTCTTTTAATAGGTACAAATTGAGGATCACTTAAAGAGGTATTTTGCTGAATACAATAACTTTCATCATCCAAATCAGGATTTAAATACATGTATGCCGATTGATAATTGCACTGGTCTCTCCAAGGAGGCCAAAAACAAAGCCCGAGCAAATATAAAGAAAATAATGAAGTTTTAAAATAGGTTGTAAAAAAAGGCTTATCAAATTTCTCATTATTGTAAATATATTGAGTTATTTCAGATGAAGAAACCCAAATAACATCAACCAAAAGAAGGACAATAATACCTAAGATATATCTCTGAGATTTTGTTAGCATTCCTTCGTAAGGGAATTCAGTTTTACCTTCTTGCTCTGGAAGCATTTTTTAATTTTTTAATCAAAATAAAATTTTTGAAATTAATAAATGTGTAGAAAAAAACCATGAGTAAAAATTTTAAAACTTAGAAACAAATTTACTGCATAATAATAATAATAATAATAATAGTGAAAAACAAGAATTAAACAAAACTGTGAGTTTTTCGATAAATAACAATTATATCTTTTGCAAATTTCATTTTGCAAACAATTATTAAATTTAAAAATAATATTTCAACGAAAAAAAAAAAATAAATAAATAAATAATAATAACAATAAATCAATTAATAAAATTCAACATTGTCGCAAAACTAAAAATTTTAAAATGTAAACTGACGACAATTTTCTCTGCTCATCAAAATAGTTACTGTTATTCTAAATTCTACGAAAAGAAGATCGGTTAATTTGTAATATTTATTTTTTTAAAACCGGTAAAGTTAATAGTTTGTAAAATCTTAATAAAAAAATTTAAAAGACATTTTTAAGTTTAGCGTTGTAAAAAGAATAAATCAAATCGAAAATTTTATTGAGATTTTTCTTGTAATAAAGTTACCATAGAAACTTGTTGCGAAAACTTTAACAAGTCCACATTCAAAATGTTACCTAATGGAAGTTTACCTACGATGGCTCAAGAATTACCACATAATGTTAAAATTCTTAAATCCTCGAGTAAATTTAATAAAGGTATAAAATTTTTATTATTTATAAATTTGTTATAAATTATTTTTTAATTGTTTGTATAGTAATACCTTCAAAATTGATTGACAAAGCTCTAGCATTAGGCAGTCACATATCAAAAAAAGATTTCATTTTTCTTCTTAAAAAAAAAAAAAAAAAACAATATAAATTTAAAAGTTAATTTAAAATATAATATTATAAATAGAAAAAAATTACACAATTCAATAAATGATTACACGCTTTAAATAAGTTTTACAAGTATTTTTTTGTTCTTGAATGCACAAATACAAAAAAATATTAAATTTTTAGTAAAAACAAAAAACATTAGGTATTAGTCTTAACTAATTATTAAAAATTACTTTAATCAATACAATAAAAATAACAAAATTGATGTCAACATTTAAAAAAAAAAAAACCTTAAAAGTTTCCTAATTTCTTATAAAATATCAGGGTTATAAATTCATGCCAGGGTGACAATAACAATTTAACAGTTTTTTTTTTAACTTTTAACATGATTAAATAATATTATTATTAATACACATTGAATATAGAAAAGAAATATTAAAAAAGAAAAAAAATTGATTTACTTTTAGGACCTCAAGTTCTTGCACTTGAAAACAAAAATTGGCTTATTTATCATCATTACACTCGTTGCGAATTTGAAATATGTAAAATATTAATAAAAGACGAACTTGCTAAGAGTAATGGAATGAATGAATATGCTAACTACGTACAGGTACGTTCGAATAATATAAAAATAAAAAATAAAAATATTTAATTAATAATCGAATGAATTAATTACATTTCGATCGGAAAATTTTCCCATTTGTTAAAACAAGAAATCCAAATTTTATAATAATTTTTAATAATAAATTTTACATTTGTTCAAATGCAATACGTTCAATAGACGAAAAAAAATAATAATAATAATTTTATTTTTATTTTCAAGGGTATAATTCTACGTCACGAGGGAAAAATTCAAGAATCTCTTGAATATTTTCAAAAATGTCACAAACTCAATCCTAAAAGCATCGACACAATAAAACAAATCTCAAAATCATTGTAAGAAAATCAAACAAAAACATTTTTTTTTTTATAAATTATACTTTAGGTTGAATATAAAACGTACGCTATATCATTTCCATGTCGTAAATTAAAATTTTTCGATTATTTGTTAAAAATAAACATTATTAATATAATAAAATAAATGGATTCGAGTCTTATTA